GTAAGGCAGCTTGAGCTGCCGATCAGCCGCGCGCGGCCTGTCTGCTCTCCATGCCGGCAGCTGCATGTTACGCACAATCACACAATGGTCAACACGCCGACCCACTTCCTTCGGTCTTTGGTTTGTCTTTTACCCGTCTTCCCGTCATTCATCATTCGGTCCAGCGCGCTGAATAGCAGCATGTTTGGTGCTCCTACTGCGGCTTGCTGGCTACGTGCTGTTGCAATCTGGTGAGAGTTAATAAGCGGGCTCTCGGGCGTCATTCGTCCGCTTGATGCGACATGGTTTGGTGATTATGCCGCTTATGGCGTTCACGGCGTCTTTAATTCCGTGTGTTGCGCTTGCACTTCCGAGGTTGCACTTTTCGTCGCCGGGTTTTCACAGAACGTTAGTATCAATCACTTGTGACGTCTATTTGTCTGCACCCCGAATACATACATGGGCTAGAAATATTATTAAAATTCTCGATTCCGTAGCGTCATCGCCTTGTGGGCTATGCTTGATGACGATGAGAAAGACATCATTGTCTTTGCCGACGGAAGTAGATATGAAGTTACTTGCGAACTTTTACTTTGTCTGACGTACTGCAAAGACCATAGATTTTCGCCCCCCAAAAATAAGAGGTCGCTAACACATTTGAAAAAGAGCCTTTTTAGATGACCTCTCATCGTAGCTGCGTCAGTGCCGAAAACAATCCCCCCGAGCGTCTTTCACGGATAAGTTTCCGGGCGCGGCCTTACTTATGCGAACCCGCTTAAACGTTTGTCTACGCTGCAAAGCAAAGCTTGTCATCTGCCGGACGCCCGCAACTCGGCGCCGGGCATTCGTCTCCCGCATCATCAGTTCGATTGTGACGATAGCGGCGCGCATTTGCAACGCCGGCGTTCGCGGCGCAACCGTTACCGCCGCGGTGCATAAGTTGGAGGCCAGGCGGCGGCCGCCGCCGCTGTCTCGTCGATCGCATCGTTCACCGAAGCTGCAGGCCGATGACACAATCTGCCGATCGTGTCCCGGTGCCCGCGGTCCTCACGGGCCCTCCCGGTCCGCTGGCCGTCCGCCTGGTAACGGACCGCGGCGGTGGCGGCCGTGGTCAGTACGCGCCGGGCCGGCCAGCAATTGTCGTATGCATTGGCGGCGATGGCATATCGCCGCCCGAGAGAGCGGTCGGGTTTGACTCGCTGAGGGTAACGGGACCGGAGGCGCCAGAGGACGGTTACGTGACCCTCGGACAGCGAAAGTTGGGGGGGGGGGGGGGGCAGTTAGCGAGGGCGACGGACTTGAGGAATATGCCGATCGTTTGCGTCACAGCACCTGCAAGTCAGGAATGCAGAATAGCTGTTTCTGCAATGGAAAACCGATATAGAAGTACATGCATCCATCTGTTTGCTCGTCGGGTATTAATGTAACCCGAGAGCTATCAATCCGGGAAGTGATCACATCCGTTGAGCAACACTTGATACCCGCTGGACGTGCCTGAGGGCCCACGGTACACTTTGGGCTTCGAACTGCTGATCGCCCACCACAGCTGCGAATGGTGCGACCCCAAACCTTACCCAACAGGCGCGTTCTGGCCTTGGATTGGGCCCACGGTCAGGTCGACCCGGCACGTCCCTCATCTGACCAAGCTGCGAAGGGACCGGCTCCCCTTGTTTACCACGGCCCTGCCAGGTGTCGGTCCGGCTGGCGGCCGCGGCGCCCCCTGGCGTCGCCCGGTCCGGTCCAGCTCGGTCCGGCGCGTGCCCAGCCCACTCCAGCCCCGTCCTCCGGCGTCCGTGGCTCGGGTCCCGACAGAGGAAGGTGCGCCACCACCGGACGATGTTTGCCTCGTCGCCGCCAAAGGGTGGAGCGCCCCCCCCCCCCCCCCCGTCCCCTGACTCGTCCCCCGCCGCGCGGGGCGGGCTCAGTCGCCATGTGGCCGGCGCCACCAGGCCAGGCGCCGCGACAGCACTGGCCGACCCCGGCCACGCAGCCGATAGCGTCTGGTCAGGCGGTGCCGACAGGGCTCTCGTCAGCGTGACCTGGCGCTGGCGGCTGGAGCCGAGCGGCCGGGACGGCTCTCCGGAGCCAGACTCGGCCGCCAGGGCACCGACAGGATGAGGGGATGTATACGACCGGGGGAGGGTCGGCTGAGTGTCAGATCACTGGACTGTCGGCGTCTGGGCGGCGTGCCCGACCGGAAGCGATGGTCTCTGGCGCCGCCGCGGGACTGGTGGGTGACGCTCGGCGGGAGAGAGAGAGAGAGAGAGCAGAGATAGAGAGAGAGAGAGAGAGAGAGAGAGAGAGAGAGGAGAGAAGAGAGAGAGAGAGAGAGAGAGAGAGAGAGAGAGAGAGAGAGAGAGAGAGAGAGAGAGAGAGTAGAAGCTATGCAGAGAGACCACCTGGGTCACGTCTAAAATCCACGTGGCCCTAACCGTTATGTACCCTTCAGACAGCGAGATGACTCTGAATTCGAACTGTTTGTACCCATGGTCTTGACCTACCTCAGCCTGTCGACGCATTGTCATCGGACGTCTGCGCGGCGGTAACGGAGTGTCGGGAGTCTTCAGCAGTCATTCACACGACCCCGGCTTGTCCGCTGCCGATGTTTTGGCGCTGAACGCCGCCTGGCTCTATCGAGGAGCACACTCGCATGCCCGGCGGGCCCTGGCCGCAAGCTGACTCATCGAGGGAAGCGGCGGCAGCGTGGTTTCCTCACCGTCCCCGTCTTTGTCGGCGGTTTTTGCCAGCACGCGCTCATTGATAGCGGCGGGGCTGTGGCCGCCACATCATTGGGAGACTGCGGTACGGGCGGCCGGCGGGGAAAGGCGGGACGGGCTGGCGGGCGCCGACCATGGAGATGAGAAAGAGCGAGAGAAGGGCTGAGCTGTTCAGTGGCGTTATGTAATTATGGACGCGTCCAACTTTCAAGCAGTCGGCTAATTTACAGCGCATTTTGAACCAAATATGTTGTGACAGACTGCACCACCTACTTGGCACATTGAGTTCACTGCACAGGCCTTATCATGACCCGATGGAAAAAGCAGCTGCGTTACCCTTGCGATGGCCGTGAGACCCGACTTCACTACGTGGCAAAGCTCTTTGCAGTGAGCTGTAGCGAGTCTCAGGTACGCACTAGGACTACTGCTGCTTGATTTGCACCGTCGAAGGCTGGCCTGCGGCGACTGGAGGACGTGGCAGCACCTTAGCACATGTCGTCCGTATTGTCTAGTCGGGTCGCGTAGTTCCGGCACCCATTCAGGGCACCACGTCGCATATAAGTGAGGCCAACTGGCAAAAACTACGCCATTCTCTGGTGACGGGTCCGTGACCTTTATTGCCTCCCAGCTCCTGTATCTTCATTGTGAAGCACCTGAGGCGGAATCGCAGCCCGGGCGGGCCGGTTACTCTGGCGTATGGCGCCGCCGAGCCGCCGGTCGCGGGCGCCTGAGTGTCGGTATGACCAGGTCGCCAGGTCGCGGTAGTATGACCGGGCGCATCATGGTCCCTTTTGCCCTGGACTCCTCAGCGGCCCGTCATCAGCTGGAGTCGGTACACCCCCTCGGGTATAGTGCAGCTGCGCGCTGTCTAAATACTTAGGGTACATGCACATGTGTAGCACACACACACAAACACATACGCACATATACACACTCACGCACGCACACACACACACACACACACACACACACGCACTCACGCACACCGCACACACACACACATGCACGCACACGCACACGCACGCATGCACGCACGCACGCACGCGCCAGCTGTCGGGAATTGGCGTGTCAAGCTGTTCTCGGGGAGCAAGCCCGTGAGACGGTTCGCATTGATAGTCGACCCCAGCCGGGCGATATGGTAGACCTGTTGGCTGGCATGTCCCCAGCTCGCCGCGTGCGACCGTGACCTAGGCCTGCGAGATAATGGCCAGCTGGCAGGTTTTTCGGCAGCACATGCTCAGTTTAATTGGTGCTCGCCAACGATATCGATCAGCCTGCCCGGCCTGCCGAGCAGCAGCGCTGCTGTGACACGGGACTGCGGAGGCGCCGGCGAAGCGCGGGCTGGGCTCGTCGCGCAGCTCGGACGTTTGGCGTTGGCGGCGCTCGGCTCCTCCAGCTGTGCGCACCGAGTGTGCCCCGGTCATTATCGTCGCGGTCGCCCGCACCGGGAGCAGCGGCGGAAATCCACGCGCATTCGGAATTTTGGGAGCCTTGACCGCGAATGGTCACGCAGCCGTCGAGCGGTGGATGCGTGGGTGACTGGTGGACGATGGTCAAGTGGGGCTTAGCTGGAAGAGTGCGAGCCTGCCTTCGTGGGGCGGGCGACTGGTGGCTCTCGCTGCTCTGGCGATCACGCTGTTTGTGCGTGCCGCTGTCTCTGCGCTGCAGACCGCGACACGCGCCTACCCCGTCAGCGCCGAGTCGGCCGATCAACCTCCAACACACAGGGAGTCGATGTTGATTCAATTGATGCCGATGTCAACGATGTACGTGCATCACAGCGCCGACCTCAGCAGACGCATGCTGCCGCCACTCGGATGGTAGCCGGCAAAACGTCTCCGGCACGTCCCACCCGTCAGCTCTTCACACCTCGAGGCACAGCTCTTCACACCTGGAGGCCCCGTGACTGACATCTGTGACTGACCGTCTGAGTCCGCCGGTCCATTTTCGCCGCGGTTTCGTCCTGTTGCGTGTGGATGCGGTCGGACAGCGCCACGGAGTCGCGATGTTTCGCAACTGGCCGACAGTTCCACACAGCTGAAAATCCCGGCGACAAGGGACGCTGCGCGCCCAGCTGCCAGCAGAATGTCGAGTGGGGTTTCTGCTCTGCGACGCGCTTAGAATGGGCGCGGGTGTGGTAACAGGTCTGTCCGCGCGGTAGCAGCCGCCCACTCTGGACCTCTTATTCCAGCCTGAGCGCCTTGTTGTGTAGAAAACAGATATGTGGCAGATGCATTTGTGAGCAGCCAAGCTTGAACATTCGTTCCTACGTAAGATTGACGATGTTTTTGTTCTCTGTTTCAGGTGGATGAACTGCTTGACAACATACTCAGTCTCCAGAGCGACCATGCCGACTCCGCGGGGAACGTGAGTTGTGTGAGCGTCAATTTTGGAAACTGACCACGGTGGTCTCCGTGTATTGCACTCAATGTACGCAATCATTGTACACGCAATGTACGCACTCAATGTACGCAATGTACGCAAGGTTTGGCGTAAAATGACAGCTATTCATAGTACCGTATCCGAAGTCTGTTCAAAAGTGTCATTTTAATGCTCCTGCAGGTTCGCTGAAAAACCGTGTCATTTCTATGCCTCAACTGGTAGCTGCAATGCGCACTTTTACTTCTGCCCGCGTGCCAAGCACATGTACCTCACCCCTTTCCCATGGACTCGTTCCATGCGTCAACCGTGCGGTTGTGATCGGAGAGCCAAGGGAGAGAGGTGCCAGTCGGACTCCTCAGACCGGTAGTTGGCTAGGACATGCGCCAATCATCTCACATCATTTCACTCTGTTTAGTTCCCCGTCCATGTAACCCGAGGCCGCACAGTGCAAAAAATGGTATCACGTTTGTTTAACGGTGTCATTTGTGAATGTTTCTCACCTGTGTCTACCTCGCGCGTTTGTGGTAGGGGATGGACATGATAAGGTTTCTAAAACGTGTATGTTGAACTGCATTGATTTTTAGCGACTTAAATTTCGTGAATAGCAGTGCAGGATTTACTGGATTTACAACGGGCCTGATTCTGTCGCGTTTGCCATTCAGTGTTCTTGCTACGAAGATCACTAGACGCACTGTTTAGACGACTTGTCACTGACCCCATTCTGACCGTACGCACCCGATTGTGACACAGTTGGCGCAGCTGACACAGCTGACATGGCTGGCTGAGTCTGACTGCGTGTTACAACGCAGCCATACAATAATTGGCGGGGTCTGCTAGGCGCACAAGCATGTGCGCAGCATTTAGAAGACCACAGATCACATACAGATCCTCAGATTGATCCTTTAAACACGGGCCTAGCTCCTCCTGGCAGTTCATTTGATAAGCGCTTGCAGTTTTTTATTCTTAGAATGGGTGGTTTATGCGTTTCAGATGGTCATGTCACAGGCTCATTGGTGGAGCTCATAGACGTCGCCTCGGCAGTAGACTTTCGCCGCTTGGAAAGGTTGTTACCAAATGTTTGTCGTAGTCTTATCATCTCCTCCCGAATTTTGACTCAGATTTGCGGGCGTCTTCCTGCACTAACCTTCTAATGCGTCAAAAACTGCTTAGACGACGCCCCTCAGGTACCCCTTTACGGTAGACTGCGCAACACAAATACATACTGCGCAGAAATCCATGTAGCCGTGACTTGGCTTGACATGACAAATTCTCCTTGGGCCTCTGTAAGACACGCTGAGCCAATGGTGACGGCAGCGTTTGAGTTACGACGACGTTCCCACCGCCAAAGAAGCCACCTCCGCCCTCCCCCCCCCCCTCCCCTCCATTTCCCGAGCGCCAGCGGAGATTACAGACCGCAGGGATGTGGTCCTTCGAAGACTGCGACTCTCGTCATGGATGTGAAGTAGACACGCGCCACACCGTCGGCTGTATGGTTTCGGTCCGCAGGCTGAAGCGAAGGCACTTGCGTTGTGACTCGTCCCTGCAGCTGGTCTGCCTCGGTGTAGTTGATCACGTCAGCAGTTTGACGAGAGTGCGTTGAGAGCGGATTCGGATGAACTGCGACCAAACCGTCCATTGCGTGGGGTAGCCGCAAGTATTTTGTAGAACTGGTTTATCATTAGGGATATATTTTCCTCTCCAATGGGGGGTGAAGTTTCCCTCTTATTTTGAGAAAAAGTGGGTCAAATGTGGAGCAAACCCGATGTTGGCACTATTGTGGAGCAGATTTTCTCATTCTGCACTGTTCAGCCCCCCTCCCCCCCCCCTCTTCCCCCAACTGGTTTTGTGGAACGACTTCTTTGTGCGCCATAGTGTGGTCTCGCGTTTGTTAAATCGCGTTATTCCTAAATTAAAAGACGGCTTTTATTTTTCTGTCGCGATCCGATTTTTTACCACCCGAATTCACTCCTTGTTTTGCCATGAACGTTTTGACATGCTAGTGAAGAGTTGCCAATCCGTCCGTAATCTTTGGGAACTTCCCGTTTTCAGAACCTCTGCAGCGATTTCCAGTTTTGCTACTTACCCATTAGTTGCATGTGCTTGTGTAAAACGTCAGAAAATGAAATAGGTCAAACGTTTGTTTCAACAATTCATACGCGTTTCTCTCCTGCGCTTCATGCCAACAGCAACGCAGGTCATATTTCATATTTGAGAACCAAATCTAGACGGCTTATAACATGTCGTGGTCGGACCTTGATGACCCCTGTGACCTCAGTCGCATGACATGTCGCTCAGGGCTAGCCATCCGCAAGAGAATCTGTTTGGAGGTCTCGTAGAACTTGGCCGGGAACTGCGGCTAGGCGGTACTACTTCGCAACGTCCCTTCGTTCAATATGATGCACCGATTAAGTGATCGTGCTATCTTCGTCTGCCCTGCAATGATCGTTGTTAGTGTCCAGTAAATATATGGACACCCGAAATAAAGAGTTGTATTGAAGGGTTGTCACAATCAGCAAGGGGTGCAAGCAGAATATATTTTCTAGGAAGGGGCCACGTCCCTCGGTGCAAAGACTGACATCGTTTCTACTGCATTTACGTGCCTGTTTCAGGGGCGTTACTTTGTACACTCTCCGGGGACTGAGCCCCCTAACGCTGGCTTGAGCCCCAATATTTCTCTGAGTCCGCCCTCAATGCATATGAACAAAGAAGGAATACTGGGCAAAATAAATGCAGGCCATGTATCTGAACTATTGGTATACTAGAAAGTAGGCACCTAAAGATAGCTTTATTGTCACGTTAATTTTGTAGCAAAAAGTATCCGCTCAGTACCTAGTGTTTAATGCTCCTTCGTATGTTAAGGCAGTCTGCAAATGTTCGATGTTGGACAAGATCTTCAAATGATAACGCCTGGATTGGGTTCAACAATTATTGACTGCAATGCGTGGCAGCTTTTAAAAGAACAGGGTGGCCCAATTAAAAAATAACGCATGTTTTCCCCAACGGCGGCAAGTGCATATGTACAGTGTGCAGTGTTTTTGTCACATAATCGTGGCTGTGGCGGTTATTCAACATGATTGGCGACAGGAGTAGTCATCAGCGATTCCTTGTTGAGATTCCCTGAGATGTTTGTTTTCAGTGAATTACGTACTATTCTAAGCTTTTTACAAAAATGCAGCTCACATTTATTTGAAATGGAAACATATTACTCCGGAGAAAAACGATTTTGAATCTACGAAACATCAAAAGAAGCTGGTTTTCATGTTTCATCGAGGACGCAAAGTTAAGCAACCGAATTCCGGGGAGAAAGCAGGTCTTGCGGTGGGTTAGATCAACATTATCGGAGCTTGCATATAGGATGTAGTGCATGCTGCTATCTTATTCGAGCTAACAACGAGCATGGCATGTGCGCGTACATAATATCATTTTCGATATTTGTTTTCTCGGGCCACCTCCTCTCTCTCTCTCCCTCCTCTCCTCTCCTCGTCTCTCTCTCGTCTCTCTCTCTCCTCTCTCCTCTCTCTCTCTCTCTCTCTCTCTCTCTCTCTCTCTCTCT